AAAATAGAAGTGTATAATAACAACTAGCAAAACAATAAAATCAAGATAATAAATAATCTGAATTAACCATCTAAACCTTAGTGGGTGCGCTACGATTTGACGTTTAAAAATCAAGAAATAGTTTCTTACACATTAACACATACACATAGGCTTGTTCATAACATCTTACCAACCAGCTCTTGTGTTGTCGGTCCCAATTCACGGAGTCGGACAGAAGTAAATATTAATTCTTATACCCGAATTTTGGGACCGAGTTTTCGCACAGTATCAAGGATGAACGGGACCGACTTTTAGTGATATTCGGATTCTAGGGGGGGTTTCGCACCCCCCCAAACCCCCCCTAATGTGCGCCCCTGACTTCTTTTTCAGGTAGTTCATTTTCAGACACAAGCCACCCGCACACTGCACAGCTTACGCTAATAAAACATACCTGGTTTATTCTGTATGGATATTCACAATTAAACACAGCCATAAATTTATTCTTTACCACTGTAGCACAAGTTTGAATCAACCGATTGTTCGAAATCACTCCATTCTCCTCGACTTTCGAGGCCAAATACAAACAGGTCGGCGCCAGAAGTAAAGGATCGATGTTTTTCAGCGAATTTTTGGAGTAGAACCTTTTGAAATAATGCGTAGCCGCTGCTATCACTTGCTGGCGATGTTTTAAATGCTCGCCCAGCGCTTGAATAAAGTTTGCGTATAGAATGTGAACTTTTTGGTATTCTTCTGCAGTTAAGTATTTTAAGTCCTCCTGGCGTCCGGCCGAAATAACTAACTCTTCTTTCGTCAAAAGCCAGTACTTGTAATGAGTTGAAAGCCAGAAATTCGCAGCCATGTTGTTTGATATTCCTTCCTTCACATGCACGTTTATTTAATTAATATGCGAATAAATTTATGGCAAATTATGCAAATTAGTAATATTTACAAAGTTGTCGTGCGAGTAAGTTTGTGCACACCCTTTTCGAGTTAAGCCCCTGCCACGCCCTTTTTCGCTGGGGCTTAACTCGAAGTCAATTAACGATTTAAGCATTCGAGTTAAGCCCCGACATTTGGTGGATGTAAACAAGTGACGCGTGTATACTCGCAAAAATATTGACAGTGTCTGGTTTTGAAAAACTGCATGTCCTCCACGACGAGCGTTAAGTCATGATATCTCTCTTTTCATGTACTTAAATTGGAGCTTGTATAGTCACAATTAGGCTGAATACCTAAATGGGTGGTCTCGCCTCCTTTCTGAGGCCTTTAGACTGAGCAATCCCGCTATATTGCAGTGTAAAATTCCACGTGAGTTTTTTAGAATAGTTCCTAAAAATTTCATGGTATAGGATGTGACTTTGCGACCTGTTCCTATGGCTAGTTTCGCTGCTAACCAAAATACCTTCTAAATATATTCATTTCATTATTATAAACGAATATTTATACAGGATAAATCACTTAGTGAGTTTGTGCACATTTCGTGTGAGCATCCGCGGTCTGAGGGTTTTTCTCCGGGCAACTCCGGTTTCCCTCCTATTTCACTCTTAACATGAAAACCGTTCATGTTTTGACAATTTCTGTTTGGACATATGGTCTGTTCGATTTTTCGGTGATTTAAAAGTTAACACAAAATCTTGACCTTGTATCGACAGACCAAAAAAACAAAAACAAAAAAGAGTGACCATGTTTGGAACCATGTTTAGGTTATTGGGTTAAATTCCTAATTCACTCTTTGTTGATTTCAAAACTTTTATAAAGCCAGTTAATTTTTGCTAAACCAGTGTGCGGTGCTACTTTTTAAAAATATATATTAACAAAGTTTACAGTACAACATTTTTTGTACAACTTTTCACATAAAATATTTCAATGCGAAACCATACAAATATAGGATAACAGGGTTCGTAGCAGTCTTTGAAATCCTTGAAAGTCTTTAAATTTGAATGCAGGTCTTTAAGGTCTTTGAAAAGTCTTTGAATTGTGTGAAAACCGAAGAAAGTCTTTAAAAATCTTTAAATTCTTCAGTGAGGAACTGATTATACGATTTCCCCAGCTACTAAAATAGATTGATTGAAGCAAGATTTTCGCAAATATCGACGAAAAGGCGCATTTTAGGATGTGATTTGACGCGACTAATTACCGGGTAAAAATGGTGCTTACACTCGCAATTTTTCGACAGCTGATTGCTCTTAAAGGTCTTTGAAAATAGGCAGAAAAAATCTTTGAAAGTCTTTGAATTTTTTGGTCTTGGAGACTACGAACCCTGGATAAGAATAACTAGTATGCAGTCCAGTGCCAGTACTGAGTGACGGCCGTTCAAGTACTCAGAAACACAACAAATGCATTATATTAATAAGTGAGATATATTTTTTACATATATTGTTATTATTTTTTGAATTATTTCGTTATTAAATACTATAACGGTTAAATATTCCGTATAAATATTCAAAATATCAGCATGAGCTTCATCTTTGAATTTACTATACACGAGTAAATTCTTAAACACGTCCGAATCTATCATTA